AGGCTAGAAATCTTTAATGTACTAATGACAATTATTCTTTGGGGGGGGGTTTAAACTGACATGCTGAATTCAAAACCATTTCATGGTCTTTTGTAATCCAGTCAGAACGAGTAATATTTTCTCATTCATCATCATCGTCCATGGCCGCTTCTCCTTTTGGGTCACGGAAATAGACACTTCAGAGAGTGCATCAAACCTTCCCAGTTCTGTGCTAGAGTCTGAGCTTCAGCAAAGGACAACTGGAGTCTGGAAGAGACACTCTCCATATATTTGCACCAGGTTAATCTTGGCCGTACCCTGGATTTTCTGCCGGTCTGTTTCGCAAGAAACAGTTGTTTCGTCTTACTTCGCTCTCGTGTTCACTGAAGATAATGTTTCCTATGTAATTCTCCGGTTGCTTTCGCCATCAGATCTTCGTATCATCGACTTCCTGTACAACGTACACTGATAAACCTTTCGATACTCGAAGATGTTCATAATGAACAGTCCATTGTTTGCACAAACCGCAACAACTTCATGCAGTTGTTGAGGACGCTACGGCCGTTGTTTCCAATCACGCTGTTCCACTTTTCAGTGTCTACTAGGACATATGCATTAAAATCGCTAATGAATATGAGGGACTCCATATTCAGTACTTCGGGCAGAGTACATTGCACTTCTTCAAGGAAGGAATCATATTCTCCCTCTAAATTAGGCACACAGACTTGTACCAAGGTCAACGCTTTACTCTGCTGTAACTTCAGTCGGAGGATTACCACCCTTCCGGTGACATGCTTCCCTTCAATGATTCTGTCAGCGAGGTTGGGTTCTACCAGAACACCAACGTCGGCGCAATCGCACGTCGTTATATCGACATCTGAGTAGAATGCTATCCACTCGCATAGGTTCAGGGTTACAGATCCTTGGCGTTTCATTGATAAGAGTCCAACAATGTCGATTTGGTACTTTATGGCCTCATCAACTATCTCTTGTTCTTTCCATCTGAGTGAGGATATATTCCAATTTCCGACTGTAACCTCCCGCTGGCGGCGTCGCTCTGGTAGAGTCTTTTCTGTCGTGCAGTAATGGTATCACGCTACCTGTCTCCTCTGTTGAAATAGGGTAGGGACTCCGTTGCTGAGCTGTAACTTCGCCGTCCTTCGGTCGATGTTCGTCAGCTGCTGTTGTTCTGCTACCCCTTCGGCTAGCACAGGACGATGAGCAGTTTCTGATCGCCGAATTTTTTGCAGTCTGCCTGTGTCCTCCAATAGCCTGAGCAGCTTTTGCTTACCGGGGCGACGATCGAGGCGGTATAATTTTCAATGACCAAAATACCATAAAGGGCGGGTGGAGAAATTTTACGGAGGCTTCGCCGCGGGTCTCCAACTCTTAACTTTTCTCAACCAGGCTTAGGACCGGCTACTTCGGATGATATTTTCTAGCATCTCAATTTCCATATGTCGTTTGTTCAGGGCTGTGAACCAGCAAGACGATTGTAATCCGAGTAAATAGTGTTTATCATGATCTTGGGGTAGTTCTGTCTAGCATTACCGCTTTACGACTTCCAACCCTCAAGGAACTACCCTTGCATTAATGAGTTATAGTAATTCACCTAACATAATTTCACTTGTCGCCTTATTTGCGAATGAGGGTGGACGATTCTTGAAAAGTAAGGAAGGGAGATATGATCGATAATTGATTAATGATGTCTGAGACCAAACTAAAGGTAACTACCATTGGCGATAATTGGATAATAAAAACCGGCAATCATAAATGTTGAAACAGTTGTCTTTTCCGCTTTAACGTCGCAAACCCTCCGGATTCAAGAAAATAGTTGTTATTCCTTGTTCAACGTCGCCTAGACTTTTTTCTCAATGAGGTAACGAGAGAATAAACATTTTTCGCAGGGGTTATAGCACAAAAAAAGTATTTAACAGCGTTTAACTAAGTGGAATAATAATATTTCGTTCTTGCTCGTAGTTGGTCTAATCTTAGACTCATTTACTTTAAACTACTAAGATCTATCACTCCCTGATTACCAGTGCGTCGTTAAAGATATTTTGGCACTTGGTTTGTAACTGACCAAGATGTCCATCATACTAGTAGTCCTGTCGGAGTACTGATATCGGTAACGAAACGTGTTGACTGTTAAACGCAGAACGATAGTTTTACGTTTCGGTATACGTATTGTGAATCAGCAGAATTTTCAGTTTATCAACGCGTATTTAACTGATCATCTTCACGGTTAGCATAATCCTACATCATATAATTTGGTAGCTTTTTGTTCGTAGCCCTTCAGACGACTTATCATTTGAATAGTCAAATAAGTCATCTGATTTGCACAATTTCTCAGGTAAAACTTTTTGATCTGGTTCAACGAAGTCCACTCGGTAGATAATTGAAGTAATCGAGTATTCAGAGAACCTAACCCTTGAATTTTTGGGCACTTTGTCTTGAAGTTATGCGTCTGAAGAAACCATAAGGACGAAATAGGTGCGAACTGACTGTCTGGTCGCTGTAGGTAGCTGAATGCTCACGGGTCCCTGACAGGTTTGTAACACATGAGATAATCAGTTCAATTCGTCTCTCAGTGTTAATGCTAACAATCTGATTTCAATCCGATGCCGATTTGATCGTTTTTTACGTGAATGGTGAAATTTGCTACATTAATCTTATTGTTTTCATGTACCACACACTTTTCCGAGGTTACAACTCATGCTAAACACTTAATCAGCCCTCAAGTGTGGGTCCAAGGGGGCTCGCATCAGAGAACACCACCTTGAATTTCATCTATTCTGTATTGACCACACCAGAATGCCATGCTATTCGTAAATCTACGACTTAATGTCTGATTTAAGCTGGTTGCACGACAAACAACAGGGGGCTGATTCCTTGAACAAGGAAATTCACGTTTAATATTGGGACTCTCCCTTGAGAGGATTCGAGTTCATCATCTTTTCCAAGGTTATCATCAGGAACCTTGCAACAGAACACCATAAATTTTCAAGCGCATCTTTTACATTAATATAGGTCAACATTCGATTCGATGACGTACACAACTGAAATCATTGTGTTCTTTCATACTCAATGTTCTGTAAGAGTTAGCGATTGACAATGCCGGAAACGTTTGCTTCATCACATCAGAAACAGTCGAAAATGTTAATTACGTCAAATGAAATGTCTTGAGAAAGGGTGAGGATTGGTATTTTGGCCAAGTCATTCAAGCATTCGTTAAATATTTCTGGAGGAAAGGAAAAAATGATTTCCTACAGATGCTGTACCGATTTGTCAAAAAACATAATCGAATGAAAAATAAAACACAAGAAACGAACTATAGCTTTATAAGACAAATCGTAGATCAGTGTAAGCATATGGAGACAAACGATTGTACAACCCAGCCTCCAAGTATGACTGCAATAACACTGCAGAGAATTCAACATGAGAACTCGTTTTCGCTGGGAAATAATTGGTAGGTGCAGCACGTCAGATCGATTAATCTTCCTGTTCCTCTATGATTGGAGGAAAAGGAAAATTAGTCATAGACGAAATGTCGGCCTTTCTTCACTTTTACAAGGGCAATTTTCTTATGATGGTGTGATGATGTAGTCCGGCTATTAGGCGTGATGATGTGGGCTATTAGGCGCGATGATGCTATTAGGTGTGATGATGTGGTCCGGCTTCTTTCTTGGTGTGATGATGATGTCCGGCTATTAGGCAGGATTACCTCATTTTTAATCGCAAAGTCTACAGCCAGTTAGCAAGCAGAGCATCTAGATTTTTGTTTCATTACCATAGTGGTACTCACTTGGGCAAATCACCCCAACCAGGAATTTGAACTCGAGACCTTTCGGTTCAGAGTTCGACGTTCTAACGACCGGAAATTCTGCTATAAGGAATTCCAGCAATCAATCAACCGAAACATGTAACATTAAAATTAAGCGTCAATCGTTTTTAACGTATATTTGAATGACCCTTTCAACGTTAACAAAAAACAAGCGAAGAAACTAAATGCCAAATAAAAAATTTAGGGCAAAAATACGGTATCCAGATAATGACGGAAAACGAAATCGTATAGAAAGTACAACATTATTATCAAAGTCAGGGCAATCATGACAAAACGTGTATCTCTGGACAGGAACTGTCCAAGCCCGTGTCCATCAACAACGATATCGTTGTATCTTCGAGCGCATTCTTCACCCCTGAAGGAACAATTGACATTATGAGAGTACATCTGTTGGCGCTGGAACGTATCCTCCCGGCAACGACGATCAACATGACTTCTGCGGCAGATGAGTTTCTGTTTCACAATTCTTTTCCGATCTTTAGCCACATTCGACGATTGCTCGTTCGATAAGTCATCTTCATCCTCGACCAACTCTTCGAACGAAAGACGACATCTTGGACAGCGCAATGGCACCGTTCTATCAAAAAGTTGTCTGGTGCCTCTCCACCCGACTTTCATCTGGCCATCAATCATCACGTTATGCTTGCGATGTTCAATTTTCATTCTTAACCTTCTTCGCAAATACGGCGATGCGAAATTATTTTCATTTAAGCGCGGGAAACGCTTTCTTGGAATGTAAGAACCACAAATCAGTTTCGCTATGTTGTCCCTGCTTGTCATCCTCGGGGACGAATCATCCTAAAAAGATGACAAATAAATATAAATAAATGAGAAATTTTTTAAAGTGACAATCAATAGGAATAAATGCATTAAGGATCAATTACGTATTGCAAAATCGCTCCTTGAGTAAGGTTCTTTGTAACGTTTACCAAATGGGGTTAATCTGATGCAGAATCAGTCGATGTTGCTGTTTTAAGGGGTAAAAAATTCTCACTATTTTAAAATGCGCGAAAATTTGCAATCAACTGCAAATTGCAAAGAAACTCTAATCACAAATACAAGAGTGACGGTCACTGGGGAAAACGATTGTTTGCCTATCTCGAAGGTTGTTTCTCCCGTCGAAGTTCGTAAAATGGCATTACAGCTCAATGACAAAATTATTGTGACATGGCATTACAGTAGAGCTCGCGAAACCAAGACGTGAAGCACTGAATAAGCTATAAGTGCGCATGTTTTCACACTGACTGAACCAAACGAATATTCCAGACAGTTGAACTATCGTATCGGAGACCATAAACCGAATGAAGACAAAGAGGATTTAAAGTACTACAAGAACGACCAGTTTATCGTCAATCCTCTACAGGATCTTCACGAAGGTACTGAAGAATAACCATCAAGAAAAACGTGATGTCGCCAAACCAACTGAGCAAGGATGATTCAGATTTGGATATAAGACCGTGGACCATCTTCAGGTGGTACACCAAGTAATTCAGAAAAACAGCGAATATCAGCTTCCTCTTAGCTAGAGGATCGTTGAGTTCGAAAATGCATTCGACTCAGTTCGTTTTGCAATGAATTCCCTGAGAAGTCAGTGTTTGAAAAAGGATACATATACCTCATCACATTAAACATCTTAGTGTTAAGCTTCAAGAAAGTATAAGGAAGCAAAAATCGAAAACTGTGCCCGAGAGGGAGACGCAATCTCACTGAAAATATTTACAGAAGCGCTAGAAGAGCTTTTCAAGGCAATCCATTGGGAAATTCAGGAAAATGACAATAAATCGACAACACCTATATGCTTGTGGATGATATTCTGATCCTCTCAAGGTTGCCAGAAGAACTTAAAAGGTGAATCGAAGATATGAATGACATAGCATCAAAACAAGACTGAAAATGAACCAGAAAAAAGCTAAGGTCATAAAAAAAAACAAACAAATGACAGGGCGTCTTCTTTAAATCAACGGAATTTGGCTTGGAGAAGTGCAAAACCATATCAGTTTTGGTCAGCTTATGTATTCAACTGAGAACCGACGATAGCAAATGAAAAGAACAATAAAATAGCATGCGGAAATATCGAAAGATTGAAAACTTTTCTATCTGGAAAACTGCACTTGTACCTGAAACGGAAATTTTTTCATCTGTGTCTACTCGAAGTGTTAACCCATTCGTACAAGACGTGCACCCTACGCTCGAAAGCTACTCATAAACTGCAGACCACCCAACGCAACATAAACAGATGCATGTGGGAATAAAAAGAAACGATAGGAAAACGAATGAATGAATAAAGGTACAAACATATGTCACTGAGTGAAGAAGTTACAAGAAGCAGTGAACGTTGCAAGAACAACCGACCACTGACTGACAAGAGTGACATTAGGATGGATTCTATGAGGAACTAACCGGCACGTAAGAAGACGTCTAGATCAATGGCATGATCAGCTGAAGAAGTATGAGACATCAACGACGGATAGAAACGAAATAAAGCAGAAGCATATGAAAAAGCGTTGGAGAGACCTTCATTCAACAGTGGATCGACAAACCATGTTGCTACTGATTTAGAAAAACGATCAATGGAAATTAAAATATCTATACCTCATTTAATATGGCGTCCGAAAGCGAAAGTGCTGTACTAGACAAATGTGCAGACTTCTTTGAGAGTGACATTCCTGACGAATCCCTGTTATACGACAGATTTTCGAAACTGATCGATTCGTTCGGAGTCGTGCTACCGCTGATGATTTGAACAGATGTTCCCATGACCGGAATTTGGCCCGGAGAAGAATGTCTAACGAGGTCACCGGCTTCAGAGGAAGTTTTGTTGTTCAGCAATGGGGAGATCGCTTCGCCGTTCCTCAAGTCAGATGCGCCGTCCAGTTCCGCATCATGCGAATTATTTCCCATAGGATGCGCGGCTTCGGAACGAACAGGCAAAGGATTAGTCTCCAAAGTTTCAATACATGACGACTCTTCATTTCTGACTGTCATTTGGTCACGTTGACTTGATACGTCTTCTTCGCTAACCTGAAAATGTTTTAACGACGGCTGTAGTTTATTTTCAAGAACGGAAAAGCTTCATTCCGATGATCCCTAGAGTTGCTGATTTCTATGGGAGACTCGAACTGACTTGTGATAACAACGAGAAACCTAAATCTGCAATCGTCATATGGGTCTAAGGGCCAAATATGCGTACCGCGACCAAGAAAGCTTTTACCTGTTTGAACTTTTTTGAGTGATGCTGTTTTGTGACACTGAATTAGCCAAATCACATCTTTAAGCAGGTATCGATGGAGTTATGCGTCACTTGGCGTATGAACATATTTTGTTTTCATAAAGTAGCACATAACGATCACCAGTTCCCGAAACATCGTTCGTAATGAGCGTAATGGCTCCAGCACATAAAACGATGCGAGATACATCTAGGATTGCAAGCACTCAAATACCATAGAGCTGTGACCTATATGAATGTCCCCTCCCAATTCTCCTTGGTAACTAGGAGCCAGAGGGCGATGTACTACATTGTGAAATTCGGTCTTACAGGAGTTTTGAGTCAATTTGTTCTAAATCTGATATCTTCTTTCAATAAACCAGAGATATGACCTGATATGATGAGAAAAAAGAGAGTTACATCTCCTATACTAAACACTAAAGGTCACAACATATGCTGCATAAGCAAACTATGAAGATTATTCTCTATGAAACCACCTACATCAGTATTATAAAGGTAACGGTTTTAAATAAATTAGCATATACAAAGCAGTGATATGCGGTCATATACTCAAATATGACGCAATACATACATGTTATTGAATACATACATGACATTGTAATTCATTTTTTAGAGAAATTATGCGCCAATTAACATACGCCGGCGTAAAAATATATTTTGACGTTCATGCGGCAAAATATAAGGAGTACTAGCTCCTGAAATATCGTTCCTGTTATGAACGACAGGCGGCTCAAGCGTATGAAATGATGTAAGATGCATCTGACACTGCAGGTGCTCACATACCATGGAGCCGCGGACTGCTTAAGTGCCTACCCCTCCAAGAGAAAAGTACTGGCAATGGACGATGCAATATGCAATAAAATCTGATCTTGGAGGAGTACGTCTTATCTGACATACTCCGCCTACGAATATATTCTGATATTTAGGCGACAAAGTCGCAGAGAGACAGAATGTAACAAAATATTTAATACAATAGTATATTAGCACTGATGCATTACTAAAAATGCCATACACATACGTTTCTATAAATTTATTATAATTGTAATGTCAATGGAAAGGGGTAAGCTGTTAACATAATTAGTTCGTAATATATCTATGTTAGGCAATGTACTGAAATGCCAGCAGAAGGTATATTAAAACTGAAAATCCTCTACCTTGTTTACTAAAGAGTCGATAGTGGAAGGGTTGAGGTTTTCGTCATCGGAATTGACCATCTGCAAAAATGTTTTATCACAAACAAGCGCAGACATCGCTGACTCCGGTGAATCCTCATCGCTGGGCAGAGCCTCGAAACGGATTGATTCAACCTCCTCTACGGGGATGACCGAAGAAGACTCTCTGAATACCGGATCCTGGTTCGGAAGAGAATCGCGAATGAAGCCACCTGCCTCCACTGAAGAACCGTCGTTCTGCAAAGCGGTGATTTCTTCGCCGTTTGCAGAGTAAGACGTTTCGTCTAGCCCTGAATGCTGCATATTGTATTCGAAGTGAGCAGGCGACAAAGTGGTCGGACAACTTTCGGTAAATGGCAACTCGTCCAATGGAACCATCATTCGTTCGCGTTGGCCGTTCAGCTGATCGGAGATAATTTCTTCGGCGACCTTAGAAAGCATAAACGAAGACTATAATTATCATAATTAACAACAACAGGAGATTTATTGTTTTATTACTGTACTTGCTAGTTTCTATAAACACATTCCATCTTGATGGTGACAAAGAAACGCGAACTCCCACCCATGACCCTTCAAGTTAGTTTTGAGGTACTATAACTAAAAATCTGGGAAAAACTTTCAATCCTTTTCACTACTACGACTGTTTGAAACCTAATTCAACTTAAAACTTGCTGAAGCAACTGTGAATGCAAATTTTTCAAAACCCAATACCTTGTTTCAGTAAACTATGGAAGGACCGCATAAATGACACTTATGCAGTTTCAAAAGTGTAATTAATCTCAAAAGAAACTCTGGCTAAACCGGAGTTGCAGAGACAATGAACGCTGAACTCAGAACTGAGAGTTTCCGGTTTGAACTATGGCTGGATTTCAGGATTTCACTTGCTTTTCGTAGTACCAAGGTTTGTACATGAGTACTACTCAGGGGAAGGGAACAAAAAACCACATTCTACACTGTCCATAGAGCTGCTGTCCACTATGATTTAAGTGTCGGTCTTCCGTCACTTTTGGTACCTTTCTATCTGCGAAGCTAATGGTCAGTGCTAGTTGATGACAACTAAATGCAGCTCAGCGCCCACCATTAGCTTCATAAATAGAAAGGCACCAGAAGTGACCCCATCATGGAAGTGCAGGCCGACACTGCAAAGGTAACAAACCTTTCCTTTCTTCCCTTCTTTCTGACAATACAAAATATGCATATGCTAACAGGATACATATTTTCATATAAAGTCATTTACATTCTATTATCAAAATATTTATAGATCGGACTGCTTTTATACATGAACTGTTGACATTACATACGTTCTTATATACAGCTATTACAAATCGTACGACAATGGTGATGGTTTGCTATATAAGCACGGATTTG